GCTCAGTTGCGAAGAATTTGGGGTAACGCCGGCTCTCTTCTCAAATTGTTTAGGATTGAAAAACAACAAAAGAAGGAAAGGATTGAAAGAAGAAAAGGCGCAAGAAAGCTAAGAAAGTGAAAAATGTTTTTTTAAGCTTTTGTCCCAGCCTAAAAAGGACACGAGTTGTGATGTCGAGCGTTGAGCATTGCGTGGACAAAGTGCACACTGTTGCATGAAGCCTGAGCCAAGGAAGCACCAAGGATTGCTCAGCTAAGGAATGAAGGTGGAGCACTTTTGCAAGATCTGGATGTTGAGAGCTTGAAGTGGTGAGTTGAGTTGAGATTTGATTTGACGATTGCATGTTGTGAGGAAGCTTGTTGAAATTCGGCGCAGCTGTGACGCCTGAAGCATTCGAACGTGCGCAGCAGCCAACTGCGCTTGGTAAGATTGCTTCGAAACAGCTACTAGCCAGGAACTTGTTGGAACTACGTGTAGTTCATCTTGCTTGTCATTGAGCGTTGAGTTTTGTTTTTAAGACGCCTTGCAAAACTTCACCCTTCGAAACCTTCGAAACTCCCCCCTTCATCTTCCCTTCGACCCTTCGATGCCCCCGTCGAAGCCTTCGAAGCCCCCTTCGTCCTCACCTTCGAAGCCTTGCCTCCCCTTCAAAGCCTTCGAAGCCACCCTTCGTCGTGAAGGTCCTCACCTTCGAAGCCTTTGAAGCCGAACTATGTCCAAGAATTTGGGTTGGGAAGATTTTTTATTACCGTGCGAAGAATTGAGATTCTGTATGTGCGTCAAGACCCAAGTTCAGAAACCAGCTTGTATCAATGCATCCAATCTTGTTTGAATTAGTTGAAGCCCCCCTTGAAGCCCCCCTTGAGCCCTCTTCGTCGAAGGTCTGGGGCCCAGTCTCGGAGGCAGGGGTCGGAACATAACATTCGAACTCGAGTTGAACCCTCAGCACTCTGATTGCAAGGTCTTGAGCAGCCAAATGGGTTGATTTGACCAAATCTGGAAAAAAGCTTGAAAACAGGCAGCCACAGAGATCTTGCAGTCATCTTGGCAAACAAAAAAAGAAAACCATCTTTCTACGATGGTACTGCTAGTCTCTATTGCTGTTGCACTTGGTAAGAACGCGGCGAGTTTGTGGTCACTTGAGAGCCAATCGAAATGCATTCCAAAGAAGTTTGGCTTTGGGGGGCTTAGTGGGGGGAGACGAAAAAGCCAAACACGATGAAAACTTCGAACCGGACAAAATGTCGAACACCCTCTCTCTGGGGAAGGTGTTGTCAACTCCCACTCTGTGATAGCTACAGGCCTTGTTTCAAGACCTAGGTCAGAATTCTGTCATTTGTCCATCCACGTGCAAAGTCATCCCAGCCGTCTGGAAGCTGAGACGGTGTCGTCTCTGTTCGTCCTCACCCTTCGAAGCCTTTGAAGCCTTCCTCCCTTCAGCTCCCCCTCCTCCTCCCCCCCCCTTCGACCCTTCACCTTCGAAGGCTTGAAGGCTTCCAAGCCCCCGTCGCTCCCGATCATTCGGGCCTTTGCCATGTTTTTTGAAATAACTCAGGAAAAACTGCTTGCGAAGTGAAACTTCAGACAAGCAACGAAAAACTTAGAACAAAAAAAATCCTGAAGCGGAGGGGTTGCACAGGCCCAGCCTTTTCATCTGTTTTTTTTTGAATACTTTTATTTTTTCGTTTGGCCCCCAAAACTCTTGTGGCTTTGTGTTTGGAGAGAACGTTGAATCAGGTTTGAATGATTTGGTTCCAAACTTCTGGTGGCTTTCTTTTTTTTTGTCTGGAGTCAGGTTTTGAATCCAGGTTTTGAACATGGTTTTCTCTCTTCTTCTTCGTTTTTCACACCTTTTTTTAACCAGGCTTTTGAAAAACGGATCTGGTTTCATTTTCTTCTTTGAATCTTTCTTCGTTTGTTGACCCCTCCAAAAGCGTTCTTGTGTGGCTTCCTCCTTTTTCTTTCTTTGCGTTTTGAGGCCCCAAAGCAAGACGAAAAGGTCGTTTCATTTTGTTTCTTTGGAGAGAACGTCTGGCTTCAAACGCAGACTTGAAAATGACTTGGTTTTCATTTCTCTTTTCTGGCTTTGTTTTGTTTTTTTGCCTTGCTTTTCGAAAAGCGAACGAAAATTTTTAAAACCGTGTCTTCGGCGCCGTAGGCAGGTACAGTCGCTTTTGCAGGCGCCCTGCTTTTCGTTTCTGCCTGCGGTGGGCCCCGTCCCCGGCGGCAGTATAGTACAGTATCTCCCTGCCACAGGCTCGTAGCTGCCTGTGCGTACGACTGAAGGTACTAGTAGTGGCGGTGGTAATTACTACTGATGTATTTCTTTGGACGCGTCCGCGACCGAAATGCCATGCAGTGTGTCCATCTTTATGTGCAAGTTTAAGCTTTCACGGTGCTTGGTTTGCTCAGCTTGCTTAGGATCTCGGCATGCATTCCATGGCTTGAAAGGTTTGGCGGCTGGGGATGTTGTTGCTTACACGCTTGGTCCAATGCCGAAATCATTATTGAAATTCATTCCGGTTCAGCAGTTTCCACACCAATTCTGCTTCAACACGTCCTTGCTGTCAGAAAAAATTCAATTCAAAAAAAGCATTCAATTCAAACTGTATTCCATGGCAACCCGAAACCCCAGACGAGCTATGATGATGACAGCGGCAGCGTTGAAAGCTGTTTAGACCACTACTTTTTTTGCGTTGCATAAGTGGAACATGCTACAGCTTGAACATGCAAGCTGAAATTCACAGCGCATGTGACGGAAATTGTGAAAGATCGTGTTTGGACCATGTTTTTGCATGCGGCATGCAGAAATCATGGGCTTCCACGGAAGTCTTTAGACTCTCTTGCAGGGCAAGATCGTCGCAAAGGCCCAGTTGTCATCACACAGGTATTTGGCTCCAGCCCACCAGACCTTGAAGCAGCCATGGCACCTAAGGCGGCGGCCTTCGGAGTTTTGCTTCTGAGTGCGGCCGCATCCGATTCGGGATGGAGTGCATTGAGCCAGCCAACCTTCGGTCGCCGCACACAGGCCTTGCCGGATGGGTTCGAAATTAATGAGACGATGAACGGCAGTATCCCGATCACGGTCATCCCGTCTTGGGATATATTCCTCGGCTTCAGCGACCGCGCGAAAACCATCGAAGGTCGAATGTCCCTTAACATTGTCTATGGCGAGGACGCCGAAAATTTCGTTGAGCATCCAGAAAACATGGTGGATGTTGTGAATTTCGGTTCTGGCTCTGGGGACATCAATGTCCTCAGCAAAGTACGCTTATGGGATCCTCTGACTACGAAGACGGCCTCCAGTATCAGCAAGATTTATGCGGGCGACTTCTCTCAATCGCTCTATCCCTATGTTTCTCGGCAGCAGTTCTGTCCGCACGGTAGACAGTTTATTGTGGGCATCTCATTGGGCTGTTTTTGATGAACATTCACTGGGCTCGATTAGAACTGTTTAGGATATTTACGATGAATGATTGATCGCCTCAGGACATGATGTGTTATCCCTTCGACATCAAGACGGTGCGCTTCCAGATTAGCCTTCAGAACCCATGTGGCATCTTCTACCGCCTCGAATTAGGGTGTGTCGGGGAGGACAGCTGGAAGCAGGCTGTGGATGAGGAAGACGGCACGGTCCGCAAGTGCTCCTGGCCCATCAACGCTTCTTTCGTGACCTTCGATTGGCAGAACTTCACTTGCACTTTGCGGGACAGTGTGACGATCGATTGTGCCATGACGGGGACCAGGCAGTGGCCCGCACTATTGAAGACTTACATGTGGCCATCGATCGTCTACGGCGCGATGGGCTTTATGTCGTTCAGTTTGGGTGTGAAGCTGTCAATGCCTCGCGTTGCCACAACCATGCTGGCCTTGTTATCACTGACGAATCTGCGGAATCAGGTCATCGCTTTGTTGCCACTTTCTCAAAAGACGAGCTGGATGGAAGACGCCCTGCTTTTCTTCATGCTGTGCGAGGGTTCATGTGGTTGCTTTGCATTAGGTAGAATGTCCCGAGCCCAGGAGTACTTCTTGATCGCGATTTCCTTCATGTGCCTCAACCTACTCGGGCATGCTGCATCCTTTCACCTCGATGCCCTTGGCCGCCACCACACGCAGAGAATGGTGAACAAGTTCAATCTTTGGGGCGTGTTCTCGATGTTCGTGCTTGTCGTTGTGGCACGGCTACATATCAGGGAATGCCCTTTAATCGATCCGACCGTGTCCATGGCCATCACCTTCGGGGCAGCAGCAGTGTTCATCTCGATCATCTCTTTCCTCGTCTGGTACCACCGCGAGGCCTTCCGGGAGGCTGGCCGCAAAATCACCGAGCGGGCCTTGCTGGCAAAATCCTTCGTTTCGGACGACAGATCCGACACGGTCTGAGGGCTTCTAGCTGATCTCTCGGCCCAGCAAGCGTGCCGAGTTTTGTTTGAATTAGGTTTTCGTTCCGCATTGGTCTCCATGCTTTCCGTCAAGCTTACTGGCTTACTGATCATTGGTTTGCATGGCGAAGCTCTGAGTAAATCAGTAAATCCATGGCCCGCTCCTCGACCCAGCCTGGGGCGGCCCAAGAAGCGGACCAGCCTCGAGGCCTCCGGCGAGATTTCCTCAATGCACAAGCCATTGCGAGCGGATCAAAAAGGCCTTCTGCCCGCAGCAATGCCCGCTGTGCCAGGGGATCCTGGGAGCCTTGCCAACAAACCAGATTCATGTTCAGAGCTTTTGACTGGATTGCCGTTACTGCCAGAACCCTGCCTGCTCGCAGCCACCTGTTCATCACCGCCAGAGCTTGATCACGAGTCTGTCACAGGTGCGCCTCTACAGTCCGAGATAAGTTGGAGGTTTGCAATGGTGTGTGGCTTGTGAGGTCAATCGATTCATATTTTCGCGCACTTCAGGCCATCTACAAACTAGCAAGCTCGCGTAATCTCGTCGCTCCTCTTCTCAACTCAGCTTCTATCTGCAGAGGTTCCACAGGTTCAGAGACGTCTCTCCTTGCCATGGGCTGGTTTTGGGGGTTTTTCCTGCCAGCGCAGCGGCCCAGAGGGCCAGGGCCCCGCAGGCCTTGGGCAGCTTCAGTGGCCCTGGCGTGCCTCGTGGCAAGGCCAAACACGGCCGGACCTGCATTGATGCTTTGGAGCTTTGGGGGCCTTTGGGGGCCTTTGGGGGTTCGGGTGGTGATCCGTTGGATTGTAGTTTCTGACGGTGGATCTGCGTGTCCGCCTGTCTGTCCTTCCTTTTGACCGGACGCAGGTGTCTTTGGAGCAGTGCGGACACGACGGCTGCCGTAAATGCGCTGCCAGCATCTGACAAGCTCACCAGCAATTCCACCGTAGCGCCCGAGCACATTTGGCTGCTCCCTCTTGAGACGGAGCTCTGGGTGAAGCGCGTTCAGCGCCGTCGGCTGATCAAGATTTTGAATCAGTTGCTACTTGGCGGACATGCGAAGCTTGGGGCTTCCAGGGGGCGGACTTGAAGCCCGTCGTTTGAGTGCTTGCAGCGTTCCGTGGCTGACCAAGGACCGAGACTCGGAAGTACCTCCGCACGGCCAAGGAGCTGGGATCCCCCTGAAGCATAGTTTCCGACTTGAAGGCTCCAGTTTGCCCTGAGGAGCTGGAGCAGCAGGGCCCTGATGGCTCCCACCTGGCATCTCGGCATGGGGCAGAACATGAGGTTCCGAGCTGTTCTGCGAAAGGCGGAGGTCCCCGTGCTGTCATTTGGCAGTTTCTCTTGGGCCTCCCTTTGCTGACTGAGGTGAACCAACCGGAGATCCCCGAGATGGTGCAGACGGCTCCACCCAAGGAGCTGCCGCAGCATCCCGGCAAAGTTCGGGGCTTTGGGTTTCGTCTTCTCCGGGAGTTTGAGTTGGCATCAAAACTCGGAGAGTCGAGCTGTTCCGCCCCAAGCGCATCTTGAACCTAAATGCTGCAGCCTCACCTGGACTCTTCACTCTGCGCAGTCCTAGCGCCCCGCGTGCCCTGCATCTCACCTCTCAGCTTCGGCCGCAAAGCCTTCCAAACTCGTGCGTGCTACAGTATGGCTTTTGAGTCCGGTAGATGCAAGTGGGTTGAAGGACGGGGCATCCGAGCACATGGGGTTTTTGAGGGTGCAGGGGAGTCCAGTGGACCTTTGTCTAGAATTGAGCGATGAAGGTTCCATTCTTGGCCTGTCCGATTTTCATCCTTAAACCGATAAGCCTAAAGCGTAGAGCCTATATAAATCCTCAAGAGTGGAGACTGCGTCGACCCGCTCGCCAGCTCTGTGCCAAAGACGCGCTTACATGCAGTTGGATGTGCATGGGGATGGCAAGGGTAACCAAAGAGCAAAAAGCTTACAAAAGACCCCAAGCTTGTCTTCTCGCTCCCAAGGCTCCTGGCAGTGGAGGACCGGATCCGTCGCCTGCGTCATCTCCGGCGAATCGCCATGGCACGCAGGCCAGATCCAGATGCTGCAACAGACTTCCCCCCCCAACGCTGGGAACCCTAAAGTCCTAAAGCTTAAGCCAAAACCCTCGTATGCCTTGCCCGTTCCCTGGCAGCTGCTCCCAGGGCTGCGCGGATGAGCGCCCAGAAGCTGGAGCTGCTGCGAGCGCCGGCGCCCTCCTGAGCCGGAGGAGAAATCGGAGTATTTCTCAAATCTTGGAGTCTACATGCTCTCGCTGCGCTGCTTTACGAAACAGTCCTATAGGATCTTTCTTCACCTGCGTGAGAGCTCTGGCATTGGGCTTTCTCTTTTTGGGACAGCGGTCCCAATAAGAGTTGGGGCTTTTGATCTTTGCGGCTTTGTGGTGGCTTGATTGTTGTGCTGACCGGAGAATGCTGCATTCTGTGCGAGGTCAAATTAGCACGAGCGGAAAGCAAGTCTTGTCTTCGCATGGCTGGCACGTGCAAGGGCGTATGTCACGCTGCTCTGCCTCACACCAGCACGAACAATAGCCATACTGAGTTGCGCAATCAGCTGAAGGGTTCAAACGTCGCCGCAAGACCAACGGAGTCCAGAATCACAGTGCCGGGTAAGACGAGCCACAGCAACCAAAAGACGTCGGTCATGGCTGGAACCAGTCGCAACAAGAAGCATGGTGGCAACGAGTATAGTATTTGTACTCCTACTGCTGGTATTCGTTTCGTTTCATCACTCGTCATCGTCAGTGTCGTCACCATCCCCGATGATGATGATGATGATGATGATGATGATTATCATCATCATCACCATCATCAACAATGCTGGTGCTACTTTGGCTGAATCGTCAGCTCTGCATGCCCCTCATTGAACCCGTTTCTGGAGCAAGCGTCCGAACCCGGGCCAATCAAAACATCAGGTGAAGCATGCGGCCCTGCGTTCTGCACAGTACGCTGCCACCGGCCTTTTGGCCCTGCGCTGCGCGGATGAGGTGCCCCGTGTCACTACTGCTAGTGGTAGACGTCTACGACGACTGCAACAACGACGATTGTATCTATTGCCTTGAGTATGTGTGTTGGTGTTCTTTTTGAGTAGTAGCCTTGGCCTTTATTGCTATTTATTGCTTAGTAGCCGGTTGCTTAGCGGGGCAGGTCCGCAGAGCCGAGCCGGTCATGTGGTAGGGCCCAAGCCCCGGAACTCTCGATAACACGACGGCCCGATCTCAGGTGGTGTCACGAATCAACTGTGAGGCAGGTCTTTGGCTTTGCTTTCGTCGTAAATCGTTTCCGGGCCAGCTGGGCGTGTTCGTCTTCAGTGCTCAGATCTTGAGGTACGATCGCTGGCTTCGGGGTAGTTGTTTGAAAAGGGTGTGTGCAAGCTCAAAACTGGAAGCCTACGAAAAGCCTCAGAACGTGGGTCTTGGGGAGGGTTCTTTTCAGATCTGGAGCATGGGATGCAGGACTTCGAGGCAAGTCGACTACGAAACTCCCACCCGAAAACTGAATGCTCTGGAGCCCGCAAACTACGCCCGAAGAAGGTGGAGGACCAACGCCCAGCGCAGAGACATGTCGCTGCGATCCAGAAGAAAGTGGACGCCTGGCTCGAGAGACCGAACCCAAGTTTCAAGAAGCCGTAGGTCGCTTTTAAACGGCCACCTGCCCGTGATGGCCTCTGGATTCTAGAGCATCTGAGTATCTGAAGCAGCTGAGGACTGGGTGGTCAGGCACCATGGCAGCAAGCAGTGAAACCATGTGAAACCTTCCAAGAGCCCGGATGATCTGTTGGAGGAGACGAGACCTGCGGGGAAGGTGTTCAAGACCGTGCCGATGTTCTAGAGTCCCTGCGAAGGCAAACAATCCAGATGCGTCCCCTCCAAGTCCCCAGGATGCGTGAAAGTGCTTCGCCTCTGTTTACCTACCTCCAGCCCTTCTTCGACTACCAGATGCAGGCGCAGGGCAAGAGTTCGCGGATTTGGGGATTTCAGCTGGTAGCTCGTTGGTGGCCGGCTGACAGGAACGAGTTCTTTTTCTCCTCCTCAATCATTTCAGTTCACGATGGTGAGGATGCTGATGATGATGCTGATGATGATGATGATGATGAGGATGATGATGATGATAGGTGCCACCGTTACCTCCATGGCACGGCCAGCACCTGAACGAAAGGCATCAGCAATGCTGCTCCCCTGCTGCAGCTGAACCTGTACAGTCGACCCAGTCCTCACAGGGAAGCCACGCCAAAATTGAATTGTTTGTTTGCCTTTTGCAGGTCTGGGCGATTCGAGGCCTGCAGCGCCACATCTTCTCTTCGAAGGCCCTCGGCCCGAGCAAACCTGAGTCCATCTCGTCACGGCCAAGGATGTTCCCAGGCTGCGGCATTTGCCGAAACCCGAAGATCTCGTGCCGTCGGATCAGGATGTCTTCCGTGGCCTCTGTCTGGAGGTTTTTCTCGAACGGCTGTCGGCAGACCAGAAATCACCGCTTGAGTGCTTTGTGGCATTCATGTTCTTTTTTGTCGCGAGGTGAAAGATGCAGAGAGTAACATGCGGACGCCAGATGTGGCACTGGAGGACTTCCAAGATGAGAGTGTTGAATCTCACTGGCCGAATGCCCCGCGCGAACTCACTGGCACTTCGCCTTCTGCGAGGATGTCGCTGGCATTGGAACGGCCAAGGCAGAAGCTTTGGAGATCGTCGAGTGCCTCATGGCGCCTGCGAGGCCTCAGAAAGGGGAACGGGCGCTTTGGGCTGGAAATGGGGTCGTGAATTTCCAGGTCGTTTTGCGCTTGGGGTGCAGCACGAAACTCCAAGGGTCGCAGTTGACCTTTCTGAGACTGATTCGTGGCCGTCAGTTCATGACAATGGTTTTGGGCAGGCACGCAGTGAGAAGGGGATCGCGCAATCTGCACAATTTGGGAAATAGGCATAGGTCTCCGGATGTGGGCAAGCTGGGCAGATCGCGTATTTGGGAGTTCTTCCCAGCGTAACTTACTTCACAAAACCCGGGGTGGCAAGGCAGTAGCTGTCAGCAACTCTTTCGCGGTCGTGGCGCTCGCGAGAAGCCCAAACCTCACCCAAAAAAGTTGGAGGTTTGCGAGCTTGGGCGCCAAGTGCCCGAAGGGCCTCCTTTTGACCGGCCCGCCCGGTTGCGGGAAGACGCCCGGGGCCCGGCAACTTGTGGGGGACTTCGAGAGGCTTCGAGGGCTCTTTTTTGGGATGCCCGTCTTTGCAGACTTCTTCGCAGCAATAACGACACGGACGCAGAGGATCCTTGCTACAGCTGTTGAACTGCAATCTGCGTACAGCATGTGTGCATGCGACGGCCCTCGCCGCTGCCGGTCGCCAGGCTACTGGCAAAAGCCATAGCTTCCACTGCGGCCGTGCCATTTTTGTCACGCTCAGGCGCTGAAGCTTGCAGGGGGAAATGGTCAGCATTGCCAGAGAAGTTGAAAAGCAGATAAGTTGGAAAGGGCAAACCGTCTCCAGCATGGAGAGGCTCCACTTGCTCCGATGCATAAAAAACCCCGCAAAGCATCGCTGCTAAGCACTCTCCCATCCGCCCGCAGTTCCAGGTCACCTCCGCGCCTTTCCCTGCTTGAACCAGCCATCCTCTTCCCAATTACCCAATCGCTTCACATTGTATACAACCCCGTCAACCCAAAGACACGAAAAGCCCTTTGAAGAGTCTTCTGCCTGGAGGCGCCGACTTCAACGGCCGCTTTGCAGGTACCGGGACGAACCTGGTGAAGGAGTGGCCTGGGCGGCTGGGCGGGGCGGGTTGGGGCCATTTTGATAATGAGTTGCAAAGGGCATCCGCTCAGCTGCGAAGGCTAGCGGCTAGCGCGACGTGTTGCCAAGACAGGACAACATCTGGCAACGAGTTTTGCCAGCAGCCGCGCACGGACAAATGGAATAGTGTTAAGCATAGTAGATATGTTTTTGGGTGTATCGGGAGTGTTATACTGATGACTATCGAGTCCTGCGACCGTTGTCATCATCCTCATCATTGACATAATTGTCAGCTCTCAGCATCTCCTTTATCACTTGGCTTTGGGGATGAGAGCCTTCCGGGTTGATGGTGCTTCCACTTCGCTGAGGTTCCAAACTTCGAATCTAGCTTGTGGCTGCGAGACGCTTTCCGGGCATCTGGGCTCCGGTCTGGGCCACTTTCAATTGTCAACTTTCCTCTGCCAAACTTCGAAGCTGCAACCTGTCTCTGGACAGGAGCTGTTTGCGATGGCCCGCCGCATGTCTCCTGCGGTGATCCTCATCGACGAGCCGGGCCTCCTAGGACTTCGCCTTTCTTCGGAGCCTCCAAGGACTTCAGCAACTTTGAGTCTGTGCGAAGCTTCGTCTCGGTTAGCAGATGAAGCTTGCCACGCGGGTTGACACAACTGTGAGTTAGGATCACCGGCCGTGGCACTTTGCCCTTCCAATCTCAAAAGAGCGAAGAGCCCCAGCGAACAGACGGAAGACGCCCTGCCATCCTGCCTGGTGATCACCGCCTTCTCAAAGCCAAAGCTTCAGGCTGGACTACATTGGCCGCCGCCGGGGCGAGGAGCCGCTGTGTGGGTTTGGGGTGAGCGTTGGGGTTGCCCTTCCGGGCCGGGACTTCCGCTGCCGAGAAGAGATTCCATTTGCTGCAGCTTTAGCTCGACTGCATGCTGTGTTCCATGTTGCACCGTAGCATACTAGGCTACATTGGACATATAAATTGCAACCTGTGGCACGATGGAGCATAGACGACGGAGGTCTGACATGTCGCCTGTCTTTTGTGATCGTGTACCAGCTCGTGTTGTCAGAGTCTGTCCTCTGTCACAAGCATTCACTACCGTCACACCAGCATGTTGTCTTAAGTCTTAAAACTCCATTGTGCTCGCAAAGTGGGAAAACTGCTCATCGGCCGACCAGCCGATCAGCCGATGATCGGCTGGTCGGCTGGTCGGGTTCAGGGTTTACGGGTTTAGCGTGTGATCAGGGGTTTAGGGTTTAGGGTTGTTTGGCTGATCGGCTGATCGGCTGGTCGGTTTAGGGGTTTAGCTTGTAGGGTTTTAGGGTTTAGGGGTTTAGGGTTTAGGTTTTAGCGGTTTAGGGTTGATTGGCTGATCGGCTGGTCGGGTTTAGGATTTAGGGGTTTATCGGTTAAGCGTTTAGGCGTTCAGGCGTTTAGGGGGTTTAGGGGTTTAGGGTTTAGGGTTGATTGTGGCTGATCGGCTGATCGGCTGGTCGGGTTTAGGGTTTACGGGTTTAGCGTTTAGGGGTTTAGGGGTTTAGGGGTTTAGGGGTTTAGGGGTTCAGGGTTTAGGGGTTTAGGGTTCAGGGGTTTAGGGTTGATCGGCTGATGCACGGTTTGGGACCCAAAAGCCATGCACACTGTTAAACTCCATGAGTCACCGTAAGTGGAATTTCTCCAAGGAGCGAGGGGGAGGCCTGGAAACCGATCGATCAGCAGTCGGGGCCTTGGCGACGGGCTTTGCGGAGGCGCAGAGTCGGCGTAGAGGTCCGGTGACTTCGAAGCTGTTCTTCTGCGGCTTGCTCTTTTCTGGGCATCGTGCTCTTTTCCTCCGCATGTCGGCTCGACCCCAGAAGCCGAAGCTTCTTTTTGTCAGAGGCATCATCATAGTTCGGCCCTAGAATGATCGAACGCAAGGCTTTGACCCAGCTGCTTGCGGAGATGGATGGGCGGGGGGCCCAGAAATCGGGTCGGGTTGCCCCGGCTCTTTCCGCCTGCTATCAGCCGCTGTTTCCCTTCGAATCAAGCAGCCAAGATTGGAAGACGTCTCGCTGAGGTTTGCCTCGGCCGAGGGTGTCGTCGTCATCGGGACGACGAACAGACCGGACATTCTTGACAAGGCGGTGACGGTCAGGTTATACAGATTTTCCGTTCAGAGCCCCAGAGTTAAATGCGGGCCATGCTGCTATGGGCTACGGGTGTTTGGATTCATGGCCTCAGGGTCGGCGACCTGGCATCGGGTGCTTCTTAGTTCTTGTGTTGGCCACAGCGGATGAGGTACTGGTTGCACGTGCGAGAAACGAATTGCGCGAGATTCATGATGCAGAGTTTGGAGATGTAAGCTCTGGGGGCAGAGGCGGCAAATGGATAATCCCTGTGATATGGCAGTTTAGGACAAACTCTTTTGTTGCTTCCCGCCGTGGATCGTAGGATATCGTAAGGAGTCGTTCCCTTCAGCTTCACACGCAAAGCCCGGGACTCTGCGACAACCAAAGCAGCCTGACGTAGCCGAGAAGCTCCTTCCCTGCCCTGGTGAGAGGCTCTGACCAGACCCGGAAGGCTGGTTTTGGGAGCTTTGAGCGCTCTTTCGGATTAGGTGCCATCTTTGCACAGGTTATCTGGAAGGAGGTACACTGTTTCTGAGACGTTCACCTCTTGCAGACCGTGGGCTTTTGCCGTACACGCAGAGCCAGGTTCGACCGGAAGGTCACGGTGCCACTGCCCGACGTCAAGGGCCGCTTCCAGATCCTGAGGCCCAGCCTTTGGACCCTTTGAGCCTAGGCCCAGGCCGCTGATCGGAGGATGTGAAGAGGAGCTCTGGAGCTTCCCCCCCTCCACCGGCCTTTGGCTTCTCAGGATGCACGCCAAGCGCCTGGTGCTGGAGAGACCGGGATCCCAGCGACTCAGCCAGGAGCTCAGAGACGGTCTACAGAGAGGGTCAAGGGAGGCATCCTTGCTCTGTCGATCCTCCGATCCTCGCAGCTTGAACAGCATGCTTCGCAGTGGGCGGGGGGGTGGGTCAGCTGTGCCGGGTATCGACCGAACTTGCGGCGAAGAAGTTTTGCAAATTCAGTTGAGTTTTCCGAAGCACTGCACCGTCCGTTCAGTTCACAAGCTGGAGCTGGAAGAGAGGAAGGCCTGAATGCCCAAAGTCCCAATCCCTGGCCCAGCTGGAGCGGATGTTGCCTCCGCCTCGCCAGCCGGTGGCCCAAGCTCTGGCTCCGGCCATCCTTTCACTCGGGTTTAAGGCCTAGAGGATAGTTGGTGTCTTCGTGGTGTGGCGTAGGGTGCGGCACACGCGTACTTACTGTACCTACATAGGTGTTTTGCTACGAAGCTGGAGATCCTTGAATCCTGAATCGTCGGGGACTCTAGACCCCGGTCAATATAATTCGATTATCCATATTATCCTTTGCACATACCTTGGTTTGAATCTTGCAGTTGTGACACCGGATCCCCGGGCCAAGTCAGGCACCGACCTGACGGGCTCTGCCCTGAACGTCAGGAGCCACAAGCAACAAAACGATGTTCACATCGTTCGTGTTGTTTGTTACAAAACGTGTAACAAGAACATCAATCCATGCAGTCCACGCTTACCGCCAGCAGCAACAACAGCCACCGCAAGACATCGCTGCAAAGGAGCATGTACGCAGCATGGTGAAGGGCAGAGCCTCCCCCCTTTTTTCAGGATTGGATGGCCTGGGCCAAACGGACGACCGGCTTCTCGGGTGCCGACTTGGCGGGTCTGGTCAACGAGGCCGCGATCGCCAGAAGGTTGTGTTTGGGTTCGTGGGAACGAAGCGAAGACTTCCAGCCGAGCGCGACCTGCGATTCAGGCGGCCATGGCCGCAGCTCGTGAAGGCTCCGTGCTTGGCCGCGGGCTGGGCTTGAGGGGAAGAGTCTGGCTGACTTCGATAGGAGAAAGGGTTGTAGATGTAGATGCTGGGATGATCTGACGGTGGCGGCGAGGGCAGCTGTTAACTCGCAACTGCCAAGTGCTACCATCAGCCGCCAGTGGAAGCAACAAAAGCATAATGAAGGCTGAAAAGTGATACCGACGGTACTGCTTGTACTCAACAGCACAGTACCGCTATGACTGGAAATCCCTACGTTCAGGCGCTTTTCAGCTAAACGAGCCTCGCAGGTGCAGCCGGCGTCGGGGAGAGGCACCTCCAGGCATGCTCGAGCCCCCGGGGTCCTGTGTTTTTCAAACCCTAAACCCTAACGCCGTTCTCCAAATCCCAATCATCGAAGCCAAAGCTGAGTCAACGCGCCCAAACTCATAGGAGGGCGAGCTTCGTTAGAGCTCGGGCACTTCGAGTCGAAGAGAAGTCAAAGGGCATCTCAAAGATGAAGCGCTTTTAGCCTTGGAAAGAAGACGCTGAAACACTTGGTCCTCTTCTTCCCTCGACGCTGTGGATTTTTGGACGTCTTGTCGACTGGAAATCCCAAGGGAGAGCCCGAATTTCTGACTCCACGAGCCCCCCAAGAGAGTCTTCGAGGTTTGTACTCGTTCTTAGAGGCATTTCACGGGAGCCTTGGCCTGGCGGCCAGTCGGCTCTCAGGTGGCCTACAGCAAGTTGCTCATTGGCCTCCCTTCCGGGCTGCGGCCCCAGCCAATTGTGGCAGCTTTCGGCGTCCGGGGTCGGGGATAGGGACGAGTCGGCCAATGGCTTCCGAAGCCGAAACGCCGAACTAATGTGCTACAGACGGCTAGACTCATCAAGGACCCTTCCGTCCAAGCATCGGAGATGAAGTCCAGGCGCCATCAGTCTGCGGCAGAGATGAACCTGACGGCCTTTCACGAGGCCTCCCCATCGTTCTTGTGCTCACCGCTGGCAGTCTCATCACGCTTCTTTCGTCAATCACCGTCAACTTCGCTACCCCCCGTCAAGACTCTGCGCACGCAGGCGGGTCATGCCGTGGTGAATGAGGCCTGCGATGCAGCTGTCCTTGCGTTAAATCGTCCCAACAGCTTGATTATGCACAGGCAAGCAAAAAGGCACTTGGTGTTCGTCTTGCTGTTTACTTGCTATGAGGGGTTCATGAAGGCTGGTTCCACAGGTTCGCAGCTGTGTATTTCCTCAGCCCGATGCTACCCTCAAAGCTCTGAATTCATCTCTTCCCCTTCTTTGACTCCCTCTCTCTCGCTCTCTGCGGTGCACTTGTTAGGTGATGCGGGTCTCACTGGGAGAGCAAGGCCCGGCCAGATTTCGGGGCTCAGGGAAAGCCGTGGTGTTTCAGGGAAGGTCCGTCATTTTCGTATCAATCAGGAGATGTATGCAGTTGTAGAGTGGTCGACCACCACGGCCATCACCTCCACCATGGCCAGCGCGACCATCCATCGGTCTTTGGGGTTTGGGGTTAGGGCTTAAGCACGTTGCGGCCCTGGAGATTTGGGGACTCAGGTGTAGATGTTGGTCGTGTGAGCTCGCTCCGTTTTCGACACGGAGGTTGCGAAACGATGTTCTCCTGAAGCCGCAAACTGCAAAGTAAACACATTCAAACTCCTTAAAAGAACAACATTCGTTTATGGCAAAGCGACAGCAGTAGCCATGGAAAGCGTTCTTCATTTCGCTCTCGTGCAAGCTCGCAAAAGGACTAAGACCCTTCCACGCGAAAAACCATGAAGAGTCCCGTACCGTGAGTCGTGAAGTTCAACTGCCCATCCCATCGCAAATCGTTGAGAAATCGAGCCTGGGAGGGTTGCAGTGGATGATGTTTTGCATTGTCGCGGCATGCGGTGCAAGTGCAAGGTGTCACTGGCTTCCGGACCGTGGCCCACGTGAGCATCGTTCCCGCAGGTGCACCCCGCTGCAGCAAAGTTGCAAAAGCCAGGCACCTCACAAACATCTCTTCTAATCTAACGTGTCTAGGGCCCCTAGGGCTAGGGTTTGGGAGTTTGGGATCTAATTCCCAATGTGAACCCTAGAATCTTCCCAGGAAGAGTGCCTCATGGATCCTGTGATGTCCATCCTACGGAACATGCTTCACGGGGCTTTCAGGGCCCGATGCGGCTTGCTGGACTGAAGCGTTTCTGAATCTTGAGGTCTGAATCCATAAATAGGGTCCCCTATCTCCGAACTCCCACATGATAGACTGGAAAGAGCCCGCTTTAAAGGATCTGAACCACACAACCCCCGAAATCTAGCCTGGGATCTGTTTCGGAGTCTTTCGGAGCTCTGTGAAAGCCTTGAAACCAACATGGAAGAATCGAGTCCTTGCGGTTCCGCATTGGTTTCGCCAAGTGTAAGGAAGGAAGAAGGTCAGGGTATCCATCCCAAAGGTGTTTGCCTTTGTAAGTGTGTCAAGCGCCCCTTTCGGTTCTCACAGATATCTTTACCGTCCCATCATTCAGGGCAGACCGGCGGCGTGACGCAGTTCGCCGATCCCGAAGAGGCCAGCTCTGTTCTTTCCAGCTTTCCAATCCCGAAGTTTACGGCGCAGGGTTCAGTGGCCTAAGGCTGCTTAAGGAGAATGGCTTAGAATTGGGGGATCAGGGTTCAAGGTGTCGGGGGTAGTGATTTGATTTCTCGGACTCGGAAACTGTCGTTACAGGGTTTCTCGAGGCGGGCTGAACTACGGCAGCTACGGTCAGGACGTTCAAGGTTCAGAGTCGAATTGCCTAAATTAGCTAGCCTAGCAGCCTGAATAATTACAAATACTAGTGTGAAGTCTTTCCTCACGTAACTACAGTATCATATGCCCCTACGCCCTATTCCCTGAAGGCCCTGATACTAAGAAATCTTTACAGAGGACGACTGAAGGTTGAGGGCGCTTAGCGAACTATAGCTTGGGTTTAATTAGAGCCCTTTCGACTCTGACAAGGTCTTGTCGCTTATCCCCGCTGCAAAATCAGCGCCCGGAAGCCTCCAAGCCTGTACAGATATGTTCGTTCTGTGTGACTGTAGTGTTGTCTGCTCAGAAGCCCTCTACACCGAAGACTTGTGCTGAGACCAGCCGTCTTCCCCACTCCCGGCGGATTCTCTTGGCTATGCTGGCGGTCGACATGGGTGGGCGCGCAGCGGAGGAGACGGAGCTTTGAAGGGCTGGAGCCGTCTCTTCGATGTTGGCTCCGAGGGCTTTTGTTTCTGAAGCTGCGAGGTTCACAGGGGCGGGGGTTCTTACTTGTGTTCTGGATCTTTAGGAGGGGTTGGGTATTGTGGATTGTTGACACGATTCAGGAGTCAGGGCTGTCTTCTGCAGCTCCTTAATCTGCCGCCACCAAGTTTTGCAGTCGCACTTTCTGTTGACACTTCCTCCATTGCAAAGCCCGGAGGCCGATATCAAGCGTCAGCCCAGCCTACAAAGGTTTCTGTTCGACGATTGCAGGAGCTGGTGCTTGGCAAGGGCCAGGTGTGCCCGAGACGCTTCGTTTTTGCCAAGCCCTTTGCTTAGGGTTCTTCAGGATTCTGGTGGGGCGCTCCAAATATCTTGAAAGGCTATAGCTGGCGGTTTCCCGAACGCTTCATACTGTCTAATCGAGTCGAATCCGTGAAGCCTATGTTCGGGAATGCAAGTTGTCTCTACCTATCTCGGAGTTTTGAAGCTCAAGCGGCAGGCGACGATGGGTGCGGAAGCTGACATCGACGATGTCGGAAGCTCGGCGGTGCCAGGCCCCACTTCGAAAAGCAGCGAGCAGTTGTGAGACTCAGCTAGTATCACTTGTGGTCAACATTGTGACGTATCATTCCATATGATTTATATGATCGGGCTGGTTGCGTCTTCCAGTCTCTTGCTTTGATCTGTTTTCAACTCCCTTCTCGTGGTTGGTGAAAAGATCGTGCACTGCCAGGATCCCAGGAGACTGCTTCAGGTAGATGCAAGACCACGTTATCGTGCTTTCGCTCAAGTCTAGAGTTATCTCGTTTCTGCTAGGTAAGCCTGGGCCACGTAGACGCTACCTTTCGGACTCCCCAGCGAAGAGCAAAGGAGGACCCTCCGCCGAGCCCTAGGCCACTCGCTTGGCGACGGAGATGGTGGCGTCCGGTGGACTTTCCAAGGCCAGTGTTTCCGCTTTGAGGCTTCTTCGGAGCTCCGAGAAGTTTGAGAAGCTTCAGATTCCAGGGATAGCCGGGATTCCAGGAACGAATCAAGCTTTGAGTTAGAGAGTTTTCGAGATTCAGGCTCCTACTCGGCTTTGGGTTGCCTCGTCCAATCAGAGAGCTGTGGGGCTTTCTGCGGCGGATGCAGGCCTCTCTTGGTCCGGCGGATACAGGATAAGGAGGGTTCGGGTGGACTGAATCTGCAACGAAATTGCAGAGTCCTGGCTGCAACCGCTGCGTCGAGTTCCAACCTGCATATTGATCTCTGACCCGCAGGCATCATGGCAAGCTACCGGGGGTTCTGGGGGCTGCAGGGTTTGAGCTTCGCCGCTCTGGCCTTGGTCATGTCCGAGATTCGTACAGGACCCACAAATGTACGTGCATACACACATACATGCACACCCGTACACACAAACATCTGCAAATATATATATATATATATGTA